ACATAATTTAACAGGACATTCATTGGGCCGTACCATTCTTGGACCTAAGGAAAATATTCTCTCGCTTAAACGAGAAGATCTTGTCGACTATATTGCCAAGAATTACACCGCTGACCGCATGGTTTTGGTAGGAACCGGTGGAATTGAACATGACGAACTTGTTAAATTGGCTGAAAAGCATTTTTCCTCTCTCCCTGCATCGTCAAATGCCTTATTCTCTCCATATGTCGAAAAGCCTCCGTTCACTGGTTCCGAAGTTCGAGTCAGAAATGATGAATTACCACAGGCCCATATAGCCCTTGCTGTTGAAAGCGTTGGATGGACATCGCCCGATTATTATACTATGCTTGTTGCCCAAGCTGTAATTGGTACATGGGATCGCTCTCTTGGTGCTGCCCCTCATGCTTCGTCTCGTCTTTCTCATATCGTTTATAAACACCATCTCGCAAATTCCTACCATGCATTCAATACAAGCTATAGTGATACTGGATTGTTTGGCATTTATCTTGTTTCTGAAAACAAAACACAACTAGACGACTTGGTACATTTCGCCTGTAAAGAATTATGGAGGTTAGAAAATTAGATAATATATAATTATGATTAACTATTTTCAACATTAAGATAGCCAATTGACAAATGGTGCATTTTATAACATTCGGTTAATTAAGGTTGCACACATCAGTCACAGAGGCAGAAGTAGAACGTGCTAAGCAACAACTCAAAGCTTCGCTTTTGTTGAACCTCGATGGTACAACGGCCATCGCTGAAGATATAGGACGTCAATTAATAACAACAGGCAAGAGACACAGTCCGAAGGAAGTTGAATCTATTGTATCCAATATCACGGCCAGTGATGTTCGTCGTTGCGCGGGCGAATACATATGGGATAGAGATGTCGCAGTAGTTGGTGTTGGGCCAGGTATGCCTTACTTGAAGTAAGATTTACAAAATTTCACAAAGTTATTTAATTACTAATATTGTTTAAATTTTATTCTAGTTGAATGCATTCCTGACTATAATCGTGTACGTGGTGATATGGCTACAAACCGATTCTAAAAATAATAATCGTAAATGTCTGATGTAGGGATTGTGAAGTTAGTTCAGATTTGGTTTAGGTTCTAAAACGTTCAGGTTCCAAATCAAAAACTAAGAATCAGGTTTTTATATAATAAGTTCCAAACCTAGGTTTGGTTTAAAACCAAAATTTTAAATCCTGGTTTTTAATATTTTGTAAGACATAAAAAAAATAAAAATATATTAATAAAAAGTTAATTCATATGAAAACTTTAGAGTTAATCCTTTGAATAACTTGATATGCTAATATTGACTTATTTAAGTTCTCAAGTGCCTTCCTCTATGAACTATAAAGTGATCTGATTGGTTAGAAAAACAAGATCGTGATAACCATTTAAGTCAAAAAAACCTGAATTTTGCAACTTTAAAAGTTGTACTGATTGGTTAAGATTTAAAATCTGCATTTCGTATAATGAATTTTTGGCCAATTGTTGTTAATCGAAATGCCATATTAGGCGCAGAAGAAAATGTTGTATATAATAAAAATTATAAAAAAATATATTCTAAACTTTAAGCTAAAGATCTTTTTTAGCTAAGTAATTTAAAATTAAATTTTGTGATTATATAAAACAAAAGAAAAAACTTGACCTAAAAACTAAGGTAAGATTTTGGAAATTTTATATAATTTAGGAAATCAAGTTATGGAACATATGATTTACTATATCTCATAACTTGTTTTTTTTAGCAAAAATCTTATATAATTTTATCAAAAATAAATATATATTTACTAATTTTAAAATAATATATATAAATATACACTCTTCTTGCTGATCACCAAAATACAAATTTTTATGAAAAAACAAAATACAAAATCAACAGAATTCGAAAATAGCATTAAGAAACAAAGTTTACACAACTAAATAAAGAGAAAAAAGACACAAAACAATATTCTGTCTTTTAGGAAACTGGAGTTGAGAAGTCAAAACCCAATAAAATATAAAAGAAAAACTTGAAGATGTTCACTGTCTGTAAGCAATTTTTTGGAAAAAGTACTTGAACTTGTAATGCAGATTTGTTTATATAATACAATTATACAATACATAACAAAAAAAAACAAAACAAATATATAAATTAATATATGACAAACAAGATAACAAAAATAATAACAATAGAAAAGCCAAGTAATATAAAGTATAAAAAATAGAAGTTTTTAAAATCGAACAAATAGTACAAATCAGAATAGTTATAAGAATTGTAAAGAAAAACCTATAGATAAAATAAATAAAATTGAGGTTAAAGTATACAAGTAACAATATGAAAAATATTTTAATAAAGACAAAAAAAGAACTAGAAGAAAAATATTATAATTTTATTCTATATTATAAAATTATCATAATTCTGTTAAATGTTACAGCATAAGAACTTTTGATAATCTTTTTACTTGCAAAAGAAAAACAATATACTAAAAACTAGACAAATGGTAGATAAAAAATTTAAATAAGTAGAGAAAAAGTAAACAAATCAAAAAAAACAAGAAAGCACTACAAGAGCTAGCTGAAAAATTCAAGACTAAAATAAAAAAAATATAAAAAAATTAGTTAAAAAAAAAAGAAAAACTAAAAATAGTTAATAAAGACAAAAACAAGAAAAATTATAAAAAAAGATATAGAAGGCATCAAAATAAAGAAGGTTTTAGAAAAAATCAACAAAGAAACACAACATAAGATAATTAAAGCAAAATAAACTACAAAAT